GGTAAATATACGACTGAACTGAAAAAGAAACAAGAAGAGCTCACACAAAAACTAGTGGCTGAAAACAAAAAGCTTAAAGGGAAGCAAGCAAAATTGAAACGTCTTCAAAGTAAAGTGAGTCAACAAACTATTAAATTGTTGCTTTCCAGTGTTTGAAGTCTCATGTGTAGGTTTTGTTTTCAAAGACTAATAGTATTGCTTTTGTGTTGCATAGGTGAGAACTGCAGATGAAGATATTCAAGAGAGAATAAAAAAGGTATTTATTTGCATTGGATTAAATGTGTTACAGACATGACCCCGGCATTATAAATCCCACTCAGTGTTTATATGATCCGGCTTCTATCCCCCAAATGCTGAGATCCCCACTAGACGGGATGAGAAATTCCCATATAAACCCTTCAATCTGCCTAGCTGGGACGAGAAATCAGAAATATAAGGCTAGGCGGGACCTTTCAACCTTTGCCTTCTTAGCATGCTTGATATGATGTGAAGCATTTAACTTACTTCATCTCGGCAATGTTTTTAGTCGTGTTTACACTAACAGTCTTGGCCTTGCCTTGGCCTACATTTTGACAGTGTAAACAGATTTTGACCTAGCCTTGGCCTGACCTAGGCCAGGAAACCTGGGCCTACTACAACCGGTGGCCTAGGCTTGTGGAAATGTAAATACTTTCGGCCCTGGCCTGGGCCTTATTTTCATGGCAATGTGTGTGCACAGTGAGGGTGCAACCAACACTTTATGTAATATTGAGGGTACAATATTAACCAGCCTTCCTCTAACCATCCTACTACACTGTATTTGTTAATTAGACAGCAATCTTTTGGAGAATCCCCCTTTGCCCACTCTACTGCTGCATGCTTTAAGGGAGGCAGGTAGTCCAATAATGGCTGACTGCTGCAATTGTTACTGAATTTAGATAAACAAGTGGCTACAGTATCTAATTATTCAAAGTATTTTCCCCAGGCTAGGGGCTGAACAATATATGTTTTCCAAAATGCCTGTTATATTACACATTTTAGAAAAAGAACTCAGAAAAAGGATTCTTCACTTTGTCTTTCACTGAAAAACGACTACAGTCTCCTACCGCTCTCAACGAGAAAGGAAATATAAATGGTCCTGAGAGAACGGCCAGAAGAAAGATACAAGAAACCAGTGAAGTAGCAATGAAAATCCATGGAGGAACTCCAAGTAATATGCAACCTGCTTACTTTGGTCTTTTTGCAACCCTATCTAATGGGGCTTCAGCTAGCACACTAACTGATATGTTTTACAAATCACCTACTGTAATGACAAAAGTTATTCCTAATGTTGTAAATGAAAAGGTCAAGGCTTTTGATAATTCTAAAACCAATTTTGTTAGAAGCGTAAACGTGCTTTACAGGAATGGCCTTGTAAGCAAGGAGAAATACATTATTAGCATTAGGTCAGCATTAAGCATGAATAATAAAGAAAATAGTAATTCTAAGTCGCACACAGAATTTATGTCAAACTGTAATGTTCCACGCATACTTCCGTACAAGGAATTGATGTATAAGATCAAGGGCATAGATATAGGTAATTTGTATGACCTCAACGAACAGTTTTGTACCGGTCTAGGCAATGATGACCATATAGAAGGTAAGTACAGGGATTTAACCGAGTTGCTTTTAAGGTTGGCCCAGTTTTACTTGAAAGTCAATGAACACAGACTTGATAAGCTTATTTGGTATAACAATAAGCAAGCAGGTCACTTCAATGTTGCCATTGGGGGTGACGGTGCCCCCTTTGGTAAGGCTGACTCGGCATTGGCTTGGTTGGTGAGTTTTCTTAATTGCGTTCATAGAATTTCTAGCCGCAATGAGAACTTTCTTCTTCTAGGGGCAAATTGCTCAGAAGATTGTGAAGCTATTAGACGCTATGTTCTAAAGCTATCGCAAGACATCAAAGAAATCGAAAAGAAAACATACTCGGTTTCGGTTGATGGTCAATTATGGAATGTATCTTTCTCCTTTGACATGTTTCCAAACGACATGAAATACATAGCTTATCTTGCTGGAGAGCTTTCAATTTCTGCAACATATTTCTCACCTTTCGCAAACGTTAAAAAAGCTGATATATGTGATACAAAATCTGCTTTCGGGGTTGAGCCTTCACATAAGTGGAAGCCTTGGACCTACCAAGCAAGGATCAAGGTTGCATCAGCTGTTGCAAAAAAGAAACAAGAACTTTCACATTCCTCTCTGAAACCGACTACTTTTAGAAATAAGGTAACAACATTCATTGCCAAGAAAGGGTCTCGGACAGAATTTCCACCTCTGCTGGGTGAAGCGATTGACCGAGTAAAGGCTGAACCACTCCACCTTAAGTGAAGTGAAGTGAAAGGCTTTATTTACTGAGGGTAACACGTGACAGTTAGAAACTGATAAACTTGTGGCCCTCAAAATTTACAAAATTTAAGATATTAGAACATAGTCCCTATTTAAAGTTAAAATTATTAAAACACGACCCTAACGCTGCAACCTATTTGCACATTTTTGATCATCTAAAAACTGTTTATAAATACTACGCCTAAAGCTAAAAGCAGAATGTATACTTCTAACGTTCAAATCTAATTTGTTCCAGTCTATAATTGTTCTTACAGTGAAGGTTTTGCCTCCTTCTGTTTTACGATTGTAAATTGGGCATAGCATATTCAAATTCGAATAACGTGTATTCCTACTATGCCTGTCTGAATTTCGCGCTAAAAGTGAATTTAGATAGCTAGGAGTATTATAAGCACTATTTACACGCTTATACGCTAACATTATTCTCTTGATCAAAGACTCCTTGGTAAAAGGAAGCCAATTTAAAGTGTTAAACATAACAATTGAAGGTGCCATCTTTTCTGCATCCAAAATAATCCGGGCTGCCCGCTTTTGAAGTTTCAATACTCTTTGAAAACATTCAGCATTGCAATTATCCCAGATTACACTCCCGTACATCATCGTAGGCTTTATAACACTATTAAAGTACAACTCCCTTTGCTGTTTCTTGAGGTACGGACTAATGTGTTTAAGAAGACCAAGCTGTTTCGAGAGTTTCCGACATAATCGATCAATATGTTCTTCATAATTTAATCTATTGTCAATCGTTACCCCAAGGAGTTTTTGACAATTTACTTCAGTAATCTGTGTATCATCCACTTTAACTGCTATGTCCATATTCCCTTTTTCTAAGATTTTCTTTTCAAGACGCTTTCCTGATATAAGCATAAACTTTGTTTTTTCGTCGTTAATACTCATCTTATTTTGAATCGACCACTGAATTAAGGCAGCAAAATCACAATTTTTATCATGGACCATTGAGGGAATATCATTCCAATGAGTACTTGCAGATAAGGTTGTATCGTCTGCAAATGTAGCAACTGATGAATGTGATAGATGGAGTGGAATGTCGTGTACATATAGAAGAAACAGTGTAGGTCCCAGTACTGAACCCTGCGGCACACCATGATTAACAGGCAAACGACTTGACTGCTGTCCATCAATAGTTACAAATTGGGATCTTCCAGTGAGATAAGATGTGAACCATTTGATTGCTGAGTCAGCTACTCTATACAAGTGTAATTTAGACAATAGGATTTGATGGTCTATTAGATCAAAAGCCTTTTTAAAATCAACAAAAGCCATAAGAGTAACTTCGTCTTTATCCATATTAAGTAATATTTTATCTGTAAGATTGATTAAGGCTGTTTCTGTAGAGTGTCCTTTACGAAAAGCAGATTGTCGTTCGTAGAGTAACCCATTGTTAAATGTATCCCTTTAATCTTTAAAGACTTGTCGCACAACCTGATATTACTGATATTTGCATATTCATATATTTTGTAAATTATATACAAATTAATGCATGGCATAATGACAAACATTCCTCTCATTCTCATCATGTATTTTTCGTCCACTTGGCTGTCTTGACATGAACAGACCGATTTCGTTCCACCAATAGTCCATATTTATAACAGTCTGTCCGCCATAGTTTTAAGTAAGTTATAAATGGAAGCGGACACTACCGCAGATAATTAAATAACGCGGTTGCGGTCATAGAATAGCGGATCGCGGATGTTTTATTCAGGGCGTTATTTAAAAGACACAAAGTTGTTTTTTTTAAATTAAATCCGCTAAGGTTACTACATGCGGGCAAGCGTTAACTTGGCACTTATGTCTGTTTTTTTGTTCTGTTTCCCCCATTCGTTTTATATCCAGTGGCAATGTAGTTTTAGAGACAATGCAAACAAGATTTTCTAAAGGTTTGAATTTAGAAATACAGTGGCCAGGATATAGCTATGTCCGGCTCTGCCGTTTTCTTGTCCTGTATTAATTAAACGCAACTGCTACATTTAGTGAAGGGTGGCCACACAACCCACTTATTGCAACTAGTGTCCAAGTTATAGATTCATACATACATATATAGTACACTGCACACCAGTATGAATTCAGTAGAAGTAGACTGCCCCCAGCGTGATGATATAAAATTTGCAATATTCTTGGCTTTAGAATGTCATTTGTTAAAGTCTATATTATTTTCTTCCCAGGTTCAGTTTCTCTGCCAAGAAATCTCTTAACAAAAGGCAGTATTGAAGAAATTCTTTCATCACAAAAAGTGATTGATGACAATGTGAAAAAATTGAGAAATCAACAACCTGAAAATCTCGAGCCAATGAATGATGGTGATATTGAGTATGTACCTGAAGTTATTGAGAATATCACTGTTGATCATCTCATCAAGAAATTGGGATGTCTAGGTTAGTGAATAATTATTCCCAAGAAATGACTCGTGATTATTTAGATATATTCAGACATTCACCTTCTCCATGGCATCTCCACATATAGCATATCTCATCTGTGTTGGATTGATTAATTTTTTCTTGTGTTGCTGTCACCTGTGAATTTCTTAATAAATGTTTGTGTTCTCTGTAACTTTAAGGGAAACAAGTTTACCTGTGAAAGCGAAATTAATTTGGTTCGGTTTTTTAGTGCTCTTAAAATGCAGTGTTGGAAAAAGAATGGAACGTGGCTGTAAAAGAAAATAACGCTTTTTTGGCAAAAATACGACGACACTTAAGCACTGTCTCTCAAAACGCTTTTATGGTTTTCTACATTGTGGTTAGCCGCGCATGCGCAGGCTAACCACAAAAACAGGAATGCGCGTAGAACGGCTATAAATATTTCTGGACTTTAATTTGAAACATAATTCTGAATTACAACTCAATGTTTTCGTATGACATGCTCACCCACAGTTTTCTATGTCCTAACTTCTGCCATTTAAGAGCTGAATAAACTCAACATAAAATACTCACATTCATTGCATTTTGTATTTTTTTGCCGCCATCAACAAACATTCTTGAAAACCTGTTCGCAGACACTTTAACACTCACAGTGGAAATCGTAATCTTCTGGGTATGAAATTTCCTCTCCTTATATGCTTTATTAACTATACGCGTAAAAATAAAGAAATGCGTCTCATTTCGATGTTCTTTTTTTGTCAATGTAGATTTATATTAATAACTTTTCACCTATTTTTAACAATAATTTAATTGTGCAATATATCGTTTTGGCTATGTCTTCGTAGCGTTTGCGCATAAATTATGACCTTTAACCCCCTTCCCGCGTACTGATTCTGGTAAACGAACATTTCTGTACAGTGCTTCCATTCTTTTTAATTGCTTAGATAGCGATTGTAAGCAACTTTCTGCTTCGCCATCTTGCTGTTCATGTACTAACGCCAAACAAAAAATTCGTAAAATCTTTCTTAACAAGCTTAACCTTACTAACCATATCGAAGATCTATTTTGTATAAATTGTAAATATTTACTAAATTGTAATTGTTGTATTCATTACTAATGATTTTTTTCTCAAATGTAAATAGTCGTAATCTTTAATACTTTTTATGCCTGTAAATATCAAAATAGTGCGAGGGCGGTATGTTAGATAACTTTTACGGTTAATACTTTTTTTCTCTCGTGAAATAAAGTTTCTATTCTATTCTATTCTATGCTATGCTATTGTCCCGTGTCTCTATGCGCATTTTCCGTCATACATGTCTACTATAATTTTTAATTTTACTTGCAGAATCGAATTCAGATTTGGCCGATTCGTCCAGTATTCTGAAAGGAAAACGCGCTTTCATCAAACAACTGCAACAATGGTTGGGAGACAAGTGTAAATGGAATCTTTGTTACCGAGCATCACGTGATGGTTGGGCTGCCAAAGATTTTCATCAACATTGTGACAACAAAGGACCAACAGTGGTTTTGATCAAAGTCGGTACTTTTATATTTGGTGGATACAATGACCAAAATTGGGCAGGTAAAATTTAGATAGATATTAACTGCTTTTTCATATCTGCCCAATTCCCTAACGAAGCGTTTTTCAATGGAAATTACTTGTTCAAAACTGGGTTAGTGCTATCCCTAGGTTAATTTAAAACATATACCTCCGTTATAGTTCAGGGTATTGAGCATCTATGGGCATATGAGCAGCTTTCACCTTCGACTAGATCAGCTGCGTCCTCCGCAATTCAGCTTAGCTCTCAGCTGCAACTAAAGATGATTAGCACACCACTTACTTATACTTACTTAGCATGGCGTTAGCTACAGTCAAATATTTCGACGTTATACCCAATTTAAATCTGCTAAAAATAACGTGAGTGTTAAAATATAAATTTAAGATTGTTCAACTTCAAAATCTTGCTTCAAGAATAATGGGAACCAGATAAGTGTTGCGAGGATGTTTCGCCCAAGGACACTACCTAAATATATTTATCTGTTTTTAGTATGCAAAACAATATCAGTTGACTTGCAATTAGCCTTTCTCACGCCGCCATTTTAATTTTGGGTGGCATTTCAGCCGACGTCTGCGAGATGAGTCCACATAAAAGCGACTTTTTATAATTTTTTTACGAATGATGGTAAATTCGCTTTGTAAATGGTTAGTTTATTTTGAAAAATTGCCTTTCACATTGTTTTAATTGTCTGCATTGGTTAATGAGAAATGGATGCCACCCAAAAATGGTGGATATTCGTCATCGTGAGAATGGCTAACTCAAGGGTTTTAGTATAGCTCGGCCAATCACTGTCTTGTGCTAAAGGCAACAATATTGCCACATCAGAGATGCGACATTTAGACCAGAGTAAAGAATAAATGTCTGCTATCGGGAGACTTTTCTTTTGCTCGAGTACGAACGTCGCGGGCTAATGGGACACTTGCCTTATAGCGATGCCCGCTATACATGACGGTAGCAGTCGTCACTTTGCAATTTGAACGACATGACGAGTGTAGGAGTAGCGATTTCGTTTTGAAAATGAAATGGCGGATTTTTAACAACATTTTACGTCCATGGATAACTTTTATCCACGGGAAAACAACAAGGGAGCTCTGAACATGTACATGTAATTTCATGGCGTTAAATGTATTAATGGTGAAGAAAATGCATTGGCAAGGAGGTCACATGTGAACATATTTCACAAATATGCCATTTGCTGCGTCCCAATATCGTTCACTTTCATGTCACATGTCTTGGAACTGAAATATTTTTACGGGAACTAAAGCCCCGTTTACACTACACTCAATTTCTGGTACGGCACGGATAGTTTTGGTACGGCTAGGATAAAAATAGTTCCCATGCTTGTTTACACTTAGGTCTCTTTGCGGACTTTGCCGTATACCACTTTATAATTTGGCACGGTAAGATTTGGGTTCGGCACGGAAAAAATTTGGACAGCGGTTAAGATTTTAAGATTTCAACATCGCGACTGCAAAAAATAGGTTGATTTTGTCATACTTTCTAAAAAAAGGAAGATAAAAGTCCGAAAAGCCGAACAAGACGGACGAAAGTCATCTCAAGCACGGCTATGGACAATCAAGCACGGCTTTAAGCACGGCTTTAGCACAATTGTAACATCCCTCAAAAAGAAAGTTTTTCCACTGAGAGACTGCCTTTGGATCTTCCAGGTGAAGCAAAGCGCCAGGACAAATTGCCGATTTAAGTTTGAAACTGTAAAGTTTCAACAAGTTTTTAATCAATTAAAGTCGCTAAAAAAGAAGAAATCTACTGGTCTGGATAATATCCCAGCTTACGTACTGAAGGACTGTGCTAGCGTTATTACTGAACCTCTAACCCACATTATAAATAGCTCCTTGATTACTGGTGTCTTTCCTACTGATTGGAAACTTTCAAAACTTATACCGATACCTAAATCAAAACCATATAACATCATTAAAAATTACCGCCCAATTTCAATTATTCCTGCAATATCTAAAGTAATTGAAAAGCTGGTT